GTTCCTCCCCGAGTGTCCCAGGTCCTTTCCGGCTGCTGCCCGGCGCTGGGCTCAGAGGGAGCGTCCGAGTGAGTCTGTGCCGGGCCCTTTGAGAGGAGCTGCTGGGGCTCCCGCAGCCTCCGTGACCCTCAGGGACAGTCCCCGCTGGGTTCACAGCCCGGAGTTGTGGGGACGTCTCTTCCCAGCCTGGAGCCCTGGGCTGGGGGCCTGTGTGGGGCTGGGACCCCTCGCTCCTCCGGGAAACCCCCACCGCTGGGATTCCCTCCTGGGTTAACCGGGGGTACTGGGGGTGGACCCGCGGCCGCGTCTCTGGGATCCAGCCCCATCCACCCGCGTCTCCCCCCTCCTCCCGGTCTCGGTGCTTCTTTAGTTTCCTTGTTGTGTGGCTTCTGTTCAGCCAGATTTCAGGAGGTTCTTAGCAATGGGGTTCTGTGTTTTATTGGTAATTTTGATGTGGTTGCGGGAGGCGGCGGATACGCCGTTACCTACGCTGCCATCTTGTTGACTCCCATCTTTTCCTTTTTTCATAGATAAATATACTTTCTTTCTGAGAATATTAAGGATTTTTTTTGAAGTTTCTTCTTGCAAAATTTCTATTTCCTTCAAATTTCCCTTTTTTGGGTGGAGGCTGTCTGTGTGGGTTTCTGTTCTTCACGCCAGGTTCTCCCCAGGGAACCCTCGGTGGTTTGCTTGTATTTAACACGGGGACTGAAGCGCTGCTGAGGGATTCTGCACACAGGGAGGCCTGTCAGCCTCGAGTGCCACGGTTGGGCTGTGTGAGGAGCGCCTGTTCTGGGTTACCTCAGGGCTTGCTCTGAGACGGGCCAGCTTTCTAGAGAAGATGTTTTAGTCTCCTGCCTGGAGACTGAGGTCTCACTGCAGGTTCTTGAGCAGAAGGCGTAGGGTGTCCCGCACATGGTTGCTTTAGTTATCTCCGTCTGAACAATCCTGTTCTTACGCTGTCCCAGTAACCATCCTTTAGCCTGTTATAGGGCGAGTGGGGAGGGAATGCAGGGGGTCCGGCTAATTTTTATGCATCTTAACTTTGTCCCTCTTCTCCCCAGTTGAGATGCCATTTTCAAGCTTTTTGCAGATTCTGTGATGCTGATCTTGCTGGTTGTTAGCGTTCTCCCCTGACAGCTTAGGAGAGGTTACAGCCTTCTGTGGTCTCTAGTCACCCACCACTGTCCGTCTATTTTCCAGCTTCCAATACTGTGTTGCTCTTTTTTAGGGTCCTATGAGCGAGCAAAATTAGCTGCCTGTGTCTAGTCATTGTCTTTATCCAGAGCTCACATTTGTCTCAGGTCCTCGTGGTAATTCCTGAAATGCTGTGATCTCCGAATACATTGAGTTGGTTATTGTGCTGGCCAGCCCCCTCAGTACTAAAAAGTGAATTTTAAAAAAATCTCTTTTTTCTAGCAAATGTTACTAGTGCCTCCCCTGCCACCCAGCTTGGACAATGTGACCGATTTGAGTTCGAGTGCCACCAGCCGAAGAAGTGTATCCCCAACTGGAAGCGCTGTGATGGCCATCGGGACTGCCAGGATGGGCGGGATGAGGCCCACTGTCGTGAGTAGTCAGAGGGGAACTCACTCCCCAGGAAAACTTGTGCTGCGTTTGTCTTAATAGCCTTGTAAGTTTGTTATTATCTGGATTTTAGGAATAGGAAAATTAAGCTTCAGAGAGGATCACACCATCAATAACGGACAGGGGTATTTATTTCGTTTACAAGCCATCATTTTATCATGCCGTGTTGGAGGGTCTCATAGGGTGAATACTCCAGAGTCACAGAGAAATTAAGTGAGAGTTAGTGTAAAATTTTACATTTCCTTTACGAATGAACACGGCGTACTGTTGGGACATTGGGATGACAGGTCAGGTTCACCCCGCGCTTACCACATAAACAGGACCAGCTGCGTGAGGGAGTAATAATCGCACAGCCAGAGGAACGGCTGTGGGCCCTCCCCCCGGGTGAGTGGAAGTCATTGATTGGTGTTCTTTGAGTAAGTCTCTTTAGCCTGTTTTAAATCTGCCTTAATCTTAAGGATGTTGCTTAGTTAAGGGTCTTGAAATCAAGATGTGTTCAGGTGTCTTTAATTCATTAATCTGATAACCTGTCAAAAGGACTTGAGATTAGTGTGGCAAGATTCTTCTTAGGGAAGCTGGTCCCAGAAAACCACGACTTTATCTTCTAAGTGCCCATTAATTATGTGTCTAATAATCAGTTTAAGAACTTTCAGAGATTAGTGACAACCTTATTTCCAATTTCTGAAACCTATGTTTTCCCGCTCTTAAAATATTGAAGCCTGTTTCACGAACCTCAGAAATCTTTCAGCTTCACTGCTAAGCTGTTTGGTTATATTTTGACATTCTTACCATATGGAGTAATTCTGTGATGGAGATCTTGGACTTTTCCAAAATAATCCCCTTCTGAGCAGCGAGTTCTTCCCTGACTATCCTGTAAAAGTGACACTCCCCCCACCATGCTCTTACTGTTACTCTCTTTATGTTTCTTTGTTGTTCTTATTACTATCCAGAATAACATATTTGTTTACCTGTTTGCTATCTCTCTCAGTAGAAGTTTTTTGAGGGTAGGTCCTTTGTCTGTTTTACACATCACCATTTTCTTAGCATCTTAAACAAGTACCTGATTCATGGGGAGACCTCCATGAATGTTCATTGGATGGATGGATGGGTAGATGGGTAAATGTCTGGGTGACTGGATGGGTAAGTGGTATACGGATGGGTGGATGGAGGGATGGATGTGTGATGGGTGGCTAGATGGATGGATGGGTAGCTGGGTAAGTGGGTGGGTGGATGGCTGGTAGAGGGATGGATAGAAGGGTGGATAAATTCCATCGTGGGCTTCTGAGGCTGTTATACTACTGGTTCTCAGACCTTTTCTAAATACTCTAATGCAGTTTTATCTGTAACCGCCCCACCTCCCCAAGGAAAACCAATTTCATCTCAGCATATAACACCCATATAATACAGTAATTTTCCAGGAGATGGGGGGATTAGTTTGTGAAAAGCCTCACTAATGGTTTTGATGGTTTCCTTCTCTCACTGAGAATTAATGTATTAGAGAGCTCTTTTAAAATATATTTAACTGAATCTATACCTCTATTCTAGAGACATGCAAAGAAGTCTTAATTCTTCTTTCACGTGAAAACTCACCAGTTGAGGGCAATTGCTGTAGCATTTCATCTTCACCCCCCACTGCTGTATCTTTTCATCTCTAGGAAAATATTCCTGGGTTGTTCATTCATTCCAGCTGCCGGAAGCACCTTCCCCCACTTTCCAAGCCAGCAAGTCCGTCCCTCTGGTGCTGCTTCTGACTTCTCACCTTCCTCTCTGACGCAGTCCAGACGGGTCTCGAAGGTCCCGAGGGGTTCGATGAGCCCACCTGGATAATCCAGGTTCAGCTTCCTATGTCAGGGTCCTTAACTTAATCACAGCTGCTGAGTGAGGTGACCTTGAACATGTTTCACAGATTAGAACTTGGACATCTTTGACTTGGAGGAGCACGAGTAATTTTAGACCCTCCGCCCTGGTGGGTTGGTTCTGATGTGGCCGGTTTTGTCCAGAGCTGGGCCGGCCTGTGTGAGTCTGTATAATGAAGGTCTGAATACCTGCACCTGGGTCTGGTCCAGACTCACCTGGGCAATAGACTTACACCTTTTCTATAGCCTTCCTCTTGTTTCCTGTTTTTAACAGTCATCTGCAATTATATGGTCATTGCTTGAGTTTTAGAGCTTTATGCAGTTTAACTCTACTTTTAGAACTGGAGAAAACATCTAATTAGGGTTTATAGTCCTGAAGTTGCGTAACTCTTAATTGACCAATGGCTCTTTATTTGCGTTATTTCATTTTCTGGTAAATTACTTTGAAACCTATACAATTAAAATATTAGATAATGTGGGCATACCTCTCAATATCGTGGTTCATCTTGTTATTATTAGTATTACTCAAACCAGAAATCAGAGTGTCATTCTGTACTGGAAACTGATACAGAAATACTGACTAGTAGCAGGGTAGTCTTAGCTCCAACGTGTTGATGCCTGCTGCCAGCCAGGTGCTATTCCAGGTGCTTGATCCACTGGATCCTTGTAGACACAATAGTGATGGAATTGTCACCCAATTTTATAAACGGGAACTGAACTTGGCTGCTGTTAAGCAGTTTGCTCCAACTCAGGCAGAGCCAGGATTTAAACCCCAGTCGGACTCCAGAGCTCATGTGTCATGAAGGCAGAAGCTGGCTGTTCGTGTCAGATAAGGAGACATCACGTGCCCGCATAGAGTGGCCTCTCATCCTCAAGAGGCATGTTTTGAAGCAGAAGCTGATTTGTTCAGAGTGCAAACTACTGTTTCTAAACATGATAAACATTTAGTGCAGCATGACCCCTCCCCTGTGTTTCAGCCACACACAGCACCTTGGCCTGCACAAGCGGGGAGTTCCAGTGTGAGGACGGCGAGGCCTGCGTGCTGCTCGAGGAGCGCTGTGACGGCTTCCTGGACTGCTCTGACGAGAGTGACGAGAGGGCCTGCAGCGGTGAGCATGGCCCCGCTCCTGTGGGGACCGCTGGAGGGAGCCCCTTGAGCTTTCCCTCAGTCTGAAAATGAAATAGACTGCTGCCCCATTTTGGAGAACCAGTGAGGTGCAGCTCATCTGCCTCTGCGCGGCTTCCAGCTCGTCCCATCCCCGTTAGGAAAAGGCTGGTCTGAGGTCTGTGCTCCGTGACTTCCACCTTGTAGGGGTGCACTGTTGCTTCCACAGAGCCCCAGGCTTTGTGATGGATGAACACAGTCCTGTCTGGAATGAATTTAGTAGTTGCTGTCGTCCTTTCGGGGTGCTGCAGCAGAGCGTCACAGACAGGCTTATAAACAACAGAAATCTATTTCTCACAGTTCTGGAGGCTAGAAATCCAGGTCAGGTCACCAGGTGATTCACTGTCTGGTGAGGGCTTGTCTCCTGGTTCTCACCACGTCCTCAAGGTGGACGTGACAACGGAGCTGTCTAGGATTTCTCATGAAGATACTCATTCATGAGGCTCCAACTTCATGACCAGATCACCTCCCACAGGACACACCCCTGACACCACCACGTTGGGGAGGGGGTAAGCTGCAGCATATGAATCTGAGGGATACAAACATTTAGTCTGTAGCAGCGGCAGATCCTGCTGTGACATTGGCCTTGTACTCACAGCATCCTCTGTTGAGAAGCAGCTTTAAATGAGTATAGACAGGGAGGTGAAATGCAAGGAAAATATTACTGAACATTTAGGAGACCCTGGGAAAGGCTCTATAGGAAGGTTTCCACTCTGTTTTCTTGGGTGTCTTTTAAAATGATGATGTGGCCTGGCTGTCTGGATCATGGAGGTCTACAAACATCAAGGAGCCTCCTGACTCTGAAGTCCAAGAACCTGTGCAGTAGCTCTTCCCTGTTTCCCTTGGTCTCTCTAGATGAGTTAACTGTATACAAAGTGCAGAACCTGCAGTGGACAGCTGACTTCTCTGGGGACGTAACTTTGACCTGGCTGCGGCCCAAGAAAATGCCCTCTGCTTCCTGTGTGTACAACATCTACTACAGGTGGGTGCCCACTTGCTGTGGGAGAAAACGGTTTCCTCAGTGCCACCGGGTGCACTGGGTTTCTCCATAAATGCTGTGCCGCTGGGAGTGGCTCTGTGCGAGCGGAGTCCTACACCTCACCCATGCTCTCATGTGACCACCATACTTTTATTCTGTTGGCCAGGGTTGCTGGAGAAAGCATATGGAAGACTCTGGAGACCCATAGCAATAAAACAAACATGATACTAAAGGTCCTGAAGCCAGATACCACATATCAGGTGAAAGTCCAGGTCCAGTGTCTGAGCAAGGTGCACAATACCAATGACTTCGTGACCCTGAGGACCCCAGAGGGATGTAAGTGTTGTAGTTTACTTCTGTGGCACAGATGAGACCTCAACGGGGGTCCTCAGAGTTTCCCGAGGATGCTCAGGAGTGTGGGTGCATGATCCCGTGTGCCTCAGATGTGCAGAAGTATTGTCCTCAGTTTTATGATCTTGCCTAAGTTGTTGCTTAAGAAGATAATTTCAGATTCTGCCCACTGCTGTCTCTAGGTATTTCCAGTACTTGGTACTTAAGAGCTCATCATCATTAAAATATGAGGCATGTCAGAAATATTTTGGCTAGGTTTTAAGTTATTTACCAAAACTCATGTGTCTAAGAGAGTCCCTGTCCCCACAGTTTTGTGAGCTCTACACTTGCAACTGCTATGAGAACCTATGTGTTGGGACTTCATTAAGTTAACATTTGTTAAGTAGGGCCCTGGAGCACTGAATAGCTGACAGAAATCTACAGGGGAAGTTGAAATGGAGGGTGTTTTACTCTCACATCCTAGAAGAGGCACATGCCTGCCTCGGGGGGTCACTTGGGGAGGTCAAGGCAGGGTGCAGGCAGAGTGGCAGGGCCTTTATTAGGGTTCTTGGGTGGAGTGTGTTGAGGTTCCCAGGCTAAGGCTGGACTGGTTCAATCCAAACCAAAAAGAGGGGTTTGGAAGTTTTATTGGTGGGGTTGATAATCACCCTGAGGGGTTGGTAATGGGGAGGCCCTGGGAGGCAGGGGAGAGTATGTCACATGGCTGATGCAGGCCCAGGGCTGGTGGGGACTCGACACACTCAAGTCATTCCTTCCTGCAGCCCTTGTGGGCCGCAGACCTCTATGAGCTCCCCTGAACCGAGGCCTGACGCATGCCTTGCACTCTGAGGAGGGGTCACAGTGCTCACTCCAGAGCCTTTCTCCTCCTCGTGTGAAGCTCGGGACATGACTCTAGTGACCGAAGAGTTTTAACCCCAGCTGACTCTTTCCTAGTGCCAGACGCCCCCCAGAATCTCCAGCTCTCACTGCACAGGGAAGAGGAGGGAGTGATCGTAGGCCACTGGACTCCTCCCGTCCACACCCAAGGCCTCATTCGAGAGTACATTGTGAGTGTCTTCAGGGGTGGGCAGGTGGTTGGGGTGCGGAGCACATTTCTGCTCTGTGTGACTAGGATTAGATTTGATGTGACCTTGTAAATGACCCATCTCTTAGAGCATTTTTCATTCCTCCTTCCGTTCTCTCTCTGGTCTCCATGTAAAGTGTTGGGAAACCCCAGACATTTGATTTCCTCTTACTCCATTTTTTTCTTCTCACTTTAGGTGGAATACAGCAGGAGTGGCTCCAGGGTGTGGGCCTCCCAGAGGGCTGCTGGTAACTTTACAGAAATTAAGAACTTGCTGGTCGGCGCTCAGTATACCGTCAGAGTGAGTCTTAGCACCCATTCCAGCCATTGGCTTGATCTTGGAACATGGGGAGATGGGTGCTGTTTCCTGAGAATGCCCTGCTTACCTTCTGAGATGCTTATTAGCAGTATGCTCAGTACCCAACCCCTGGCCCTGGAGGGGGTCATTATTACTCTCCATATCTTAAGCCAGTGTCACAGAGAACTTGCAATCAAACTTCCCTCGGATAACCAAGAATTTTTGGTAACGCTGGTTTGCCTGCCTTTTGCCCAGATATTCTGCTAACTTTCCAGCTCCTATATGTTTGCAGGGACCTCTTTTCTCCTTCTCATAGCTGCAGGGTGATGCATTTATAAACTGAGGAGATAGATTTTGTGCAAAACATGTTTGAGACCTTCAAGTGCATACATCGACTCTCTCACATGTATGTGTGTACACGTATGTGTGCATATGTGGACACACACACACCCCTGCTCTTTAGAAAAACCTTGGCATCCGCCAGTCAGTAGACCTCTCATAACCTCATTGCTCATCCTGTTCCCTTGCCTCTTTCCGCTGTTATTTCTGTTGCTGGGGCCTCTGAATATCCTGGACCCCTCAGTATATATTTTTTACACCTCACTGTCAAAATCTGACTGCTTTAGCTCCCTGGAATTCTTGCTGTATGGTATGTTGCCTTTATTTTCTACTAAGTCACACTCTGATTTGAACAGGTGGCTGCAGTGACTAGTCGTGGAGTAGGAAACTGGAGTGATTCTAAGTCCATTACCACCGTAAAAGGGAAAGGTAAGTGATCCAGCACTGGCAGATCTAGAGAAGAGAGCAGCCTGTAGAAGTAGCTTTCAGTATGACTGGAAAATGGAGAAGCAGAGATTAGAAAACTTCTCACAGCCTCTCCCCCAACATGTGGCTTTTCTAGGTGTCTTCCCATGCTCGAGGCGCCCCTTTGGGTGACTGCTGAATGCATGTCTGCTCCTAGAACTGAGCATTTCCTACAGTGCAACACACAAAGTGATTTTCAGAGCTGCCAGGCCTGGCCCTAGAGTGTGTTAGCCCACAGTGTCCCAAATAGAAGGCACCCTCTCCACTGAAGATGAAGATGGTTTTGTGCCTGTCCGTGTGGGTGCTCGGCACGTCTCCCAGTGGCCCCAGCACTCGATGTGCAGGTGGTTTCTACACCGGAGCTGGTATTAGTGAGGGCCGGGCGTTCAGGGCTGGGCACGCCTCAGCTCATCTAACTGAACCCTCAGAACAACTGTCAGAACAGATAAGGAACTGCAGAGGTCTTGTCACTCATCACATAGTCGGTAACAGCAGATAGGAGCCTGGGCCCCTGCCCCCCATGCCTGTGTCCTGAACCGCTGTGAACCCTGCTACTGGCTGAGATGTGTGCCTTGACCACTGCATGCCAGCTTGCTAGGTGGCTGGCTCGGCATCTGGCATGCTTGCCTCATGGGGCAGAGGCCTGGCCTGCTGTCCTCTGTTCTGTCACTGGCCCGAGTAGGAGCCCCTGAGCCAGTTGATGAGTGAGTGAATGGAAGCAGTTATGTGAAGGCTCTGACACACGTGGGGAGACAGACTGCTGCTCACCTGCCTGAGTAGTTTCTTGATCGTAGCCTTGGTGCCTGGGGCTTTTGTTTATGGTCTTGTGGGTGTTAATGTTAGAAGTATTGCATGGAACGTGCTTGAATATTTTACATTAGCATGAACCTGTGAGAGACGCCCCCGGCTTTGAAGAGTTACTGTCTAGTTGCCTTTAAAATGTGTGGGCTGAGGTCAGGGCAGGAGGCAGCCAAATCTGGTGAAGCTGCCAGATTTTGGAGCAGGGTGCTCGTGATCAGATAGGGTGCTGAATTCACACTACCCTCGGGTTTTATTGTGGTATCATTTCCATGTACAAAAGCAGGGTCAAAATGTTACTGTGTACTGAAAACAAGGCCCTTTGGAAGGTCAACAAAAATCATGCACCTTGAACTCCCTACCCACAGTCACACCTGCCTTTGAAAATCTCGGTGGGTGGCTGCTTCTCTTAAAATTCTTTTACACAGTTTTGATGAATCTTGGCTCCTGGCCTGGGCTCTGGTTTGGGCACGTGCAGGAGGCAGCTGTGTGCTGAGTATAAGTATTTGTTGTGAAATATCATAGTGTTAAGAGGACAAAGGAGAACATAGCAGTGGCATCAAGCAGAAGCACCGACTTAATTAGTGAAGGTAGTGGGTTGATAACAGAGAGGAGCCACCCGTCAGCCAGCACTTTTTGTGGCCTAAGCACCACATTTGTGGTTTTACAGAAATCTATCTCTTTTCATTCTTGTCTGTCCCACAAATATTTTTATGCTCCTTCTGTAGCTGAGGAAATGTGTTCGGAGAGGGCAGTGCCCATCCCAGCACGTGACTGTTATGTGGTTGTCATTCAGGTGGCATCCTAGCAGCACCCACACTGTTTTGCTCAGAATGAGGTGCTGAAACTCCTCATATTGTCTCTCCTTGTAGTTACTGCATTTTCCTCCAGCCCGGTTTCATTACATGGGTGATTATCTGGAGAAACTCCAGGTTTTGACATATCTCTGCCAGCAAACCTTACCCACTCCTATGAATCTCTCCCTTTGCCTGTACAAGAGGCGTGTGTGCTGAGATTCTACATACAGGTTTCCACTTAAACACTATATCCTGATAACACTTACGCCATCGGGCCCTTTGGATTTGCTGTAGTGGAGCACTGTCCGCTGTCCTGTAGCAGACCTTCAGACGACGGCAGGGCGCTCCTCGCACTCGCGAGAGCAGGCTTCTCTCGCTGCTGCGCTCCTCCCTTGGCTCTCCCCTGAGCGCTAGTCTCTGCAGAATGCAGTGCCTCTCATGGCTGGTCACTGGAACGGGAGAGAAGGAGCATTAATGGAGAGCAAGGCCCTGACACACATCACTGGTGAATTGTCTTGGCTGAGTACTGACACGTCTCAGGCTCTGCAGGATGAGTGACTCGCCCGAAGCTGCTCAGTTGTTAATGTCTGAACAGCAGTATGAGTGTAGGTTTGCCAGACTCTAGCGACTAGGTTCTTTCCATCTGCCACAGGGTCCTCTTCAGTGTATGACTCACTGTTTATCCTGCTGGCGTCCTTTGAAAGGGACTGAGGCCCCTGGGTGTTCTTTTTGCCAGTGAAGACAGCACTGTGACCTCCGCCCCGGCAGGCACCGGGTTGTTTGGGGCATCTGCGTAGTGAAACTTTACTGCTTGACTTAATTGCCAGGGTAGCTAAGTAAGCCCAGACAGCCGTGTATCCACCAGGTGGCTGTGGACCCAACCTCAGCTTCAGGAAAACAGTGGTAAAAGAGAGAGACAAATTAAAAGCCGCCAGAGATCCTTCCCCCTGGAAGGATTGCTTTGTCTCTTGACTTGAAAAACTGCCGCCTTGCCTTCCTCACCTGTCATGACGTGGCTTCTCCTGTTGACCCCTTTGCAGTGATCCCTCCACCAGACATCCACATCGACGACTACAGCGAAAACTCTCTGAGCTTCACCCTGACCATGGAGACTGACGTCAAGGTACTGTCGAAACTTCAGGCTGGCAGTTAGGTGGGGTTTTGCTTTGTACAGGAGCAGAGTCCAGTGCAAGTAAGAAAAACAAATGACTTGACCCAGTGGGGCAAACAACCACAGCTGGGCTGGTTTCTTTCCCCACGAAGAGCAAATGAGTTTCACACACACGTAATTATTCTGCCTCAGTCTGGTGCACTTTTTTTTAACCATATAATTAAGTGGTTCACAGCTACAGTACAAATAAGGGTTGGTGTTAACAGAATATGTGTGCCCTTTAATTTTCAGCTTTATTGGATTTCCTGGTGCTGAGGACTAATGCACAGGCTCCCGTGGTGGATGAATCTCATGAGAGTCAGATACTTGGAAACATCCACTCACATCCCTCCAGTATCTCCCCCTCCCTCATTACAGTCCTCCAGGCTCAGCCCACGTGCATAGCCAGCTTCACCATAGTTACCTGTGTCCCATGGTTTCTCAAGTTGGCATCTACCTTCCACAGTGTTCCTGTCTGTCTCACCTCACATCATTCCTGCCTGTGAAGTTTCAGTGGGACAAGCAGCCGTCAGAGTCCTTGTGCCATTCACTGACTACAATTTAGTGTCATGCCTTTGGCTTCAGAGATAATGGATGCAAGAAGTGGCCCTGTGGAGCATGTCTATCTAGTCTTTGGTCTTGAAATCATTTTATTTGTTGTCCCATGTTTAGTGATCTTTAGATCCAAATTTTCTATGAGCTCAGGATGTGGAAAAGGTAGCCTTCTCTGGTGTGGGGGTGTATGCGCTCCTGTCAGGAGCTTGAACCAAACCCCTTTGTACTGACCTCTGGGTCTTGACAGCAAGGACCACCCGAGCACCGATTACCCTTAATTACCATAACCTAGTGACTTTTCCAATTTTCCTCTTTCTGTCTTTATTAATTGGTTCTTGTCCTTTTATTCTGTGTTAATTTTTGTTTTACTGAATGTCTATTTTATATAATAAATGGTCTCACATTTGTGTTTAGAAGTAGGTGGGGTATAAATATTCACTGGTAGCACCAATGGAACTAGTTTAAAGATCAAAAGAAGCAACCTGCCTGTTGTGAGAAAGGAGACAGCTAGGGAACCCGTGGGAAAGGGGAGCCTTCCTCTGTGGGTTCTCTATGGCTGGACTGGTGGTGACTTATTTCTTGGTCCTTGGCAGGTGAATGGCTACGTGGTGAACCTCTTTTGGGCATTTGACACCCACAGACAAGAGAAGAGAACTTTGAACTTCCGAGGGAGCATTTTGTCACACAAAGGTAGCAGAGCTTTCCTGGCAGTGGAGCCCATGTGGGGGTGCCTAGGAGAAGCGAGTGTGTAGGGAGGTCTCCTGTGGCTGCCATTCGGGTGGGCAGAGTGAGGAAACTGGGAATGACTCCTGACTCCAGGGAAGGGGTCCACTGGGTGGTTCCTCAAGCCCCTCTAACTGATGGCTCTTAGTAGAAGTTGGAGACTTAAAAGGAAAAAACTGGATGAAGGCAGATTAACCCTATACAGGTGATTTTTAAATTGGAAAGGAGTTCCTAGATTTAGTTACCTGTCTCTCTGTTCTGGTTTTGTTTGCTCCACCTCTACTAATACGAGGTAGCAAAGGGCCTGGTGCATAACCAGAGTTCAGTAACATTTGTTGAATGAATAGAGAGAAAAACTGGGCGAAGGCAGGAAGGAAGTTATCTCATTCCTCTTACACCTGTGTGAATATTGAGTCTCAGGTAAAATGCTGATATGGCTCAAGGAAGGATTTCAGTTATTCCAGGTAAAACCTTCACTGGCAGAGGCTGCCTGTGAGTGTGGTGTGGGAGCATCTCCCTTCCCTTTCAGCTTGTTTGCAGATTAGTTGACCATGTTTTACTCCTCACAGGTGATCTAGAGCTGTGTGTGTGTGTGTGTGTGTCTGTGTGTGTAGTGTTTGTCTGTCTTTGTGTCTGTGTCTGTGTGCATGTGTCTGTGTTTGTGTATAGATGTGTGTGTGTGTCTGTGTGTGGATGATGAAAGTTGCCCAGGAGGTTGCAGTAGAGTAAAAATAACAGTAAGCACTTACTGCGTGCAGGCATTTGCCTCGGCACACAGTGTTTGTTTTACATGACCCCAAGAATCAGTCTGTGGGACATGCTCACTTTACTGATGAGAAAACAAGGCTTAGAGATTCAGTAATTCCCTCAGAGGGTGGGAGAGCCAGGATTTGAACCCACATCTTTCTAATTCCAGAGCCTGTGACCTCATTGCCCCAGTGTTGCACCAGGGGGAGTTGGCAGGGTCGGGAACGGAAGGCTTAGCTGGTGCCTGGATATGCAAAGGGCCCGCTCTGTGCTGGGCATCGTGCCAAGCCCTGTACAGGGTTTTTTTTGATTCTCACTGGAGGATATTTTTTTCATTGCTTTTCAGAGAGAGGAGAGAGTAGAAGGGAGACAGAGGGAGAGAGAAACCTCGATATGAGAGAGACACATTGATTGGTTGCCTCCCGCATGCGCCCTGACCTGGGCCGGGGATCGAGCCTGCAACCGAGGCACGTGCCCTTGACTGGAACCAAACCCGGGTCCCTTCAGTCTGTGGGCCGACACTCTTAACGACTGAGCCAAACCTGCTAGGGCAGCATTTTCTTTTTAATTCCCTCAATAGCCATCTGCAAAAAGTGCTGTTATATTTACCTTACAAAAAGAAGGACTTAGAGAGTTTGAATACTTTAATCCAGGTAATACAGCTACAGAGTGTCGCCAGGCCGTGAACCCAAGCTTCCTGGCTCCAAAGGCTGTCCTCTTACATATCCTTGGTTCACTTCTCTTTGCTTCCTAATAACATTTCCACTGAAAGAGAAAGGGGACACATGTTTATTACAGAACATTTAGAAAACAAAGCATAATGAAAATTTAAAATTTCCTATAATTTTACTTCCCAGGAAAACCACTTTTAAATATCATATATCTCCTAAATTAATAGGAGATATAAAATTGAAGTAATACTATATATCGCTTTATATCCTGCCTTTTTCACTTAACATAAAATTGTAAAGACGTTTTCAGTCTCCTTAAACATTCTTGGAAACAGCTGTCAGGAATGGTTCATGGAACATACATGAAGTCCGTGGAATGCACGTTCTTTCACTGTTGCCTGTCACCGGGAGCCAGATACGTACAGGGTTTTCTCCTGCAGTAAGCGCTGTGACTGACGTCTTGGTTGCATCAATTTTGGGACCCTCTCTGATTTCATGAGATAACTGGATTGAAGGTCATGTTACTTGTAGTTATTAATAAATAACTCTGAATGATTTTGTGAAATCATGAAAATCCTACTACATGTGGGACTCGGTTAAGTTGAGAGATTACGTTTTAAAAAGGATGTGCCTATCAGGACACAGATTCTTGGCTCACCTCCAGCTTCCTCCTGGCATCTCCTTGCTCCTGTTTTCACAGTTGGCAATCTGACAGCTCAAACATCATATGAGATTTCCGCCTGGGCCAAGACTGAGTCAGGGGATAGTCCTCTGGCATTCGAGCATGTTGTGACCAAAGGAGTCCGCCCACCTGCGCCTGGCCTCAAAGCCAAGGCCATTAACCAGACTGCAGTGGAGTGCACCTGGACTGGCCCCCGGAATGTGGTAAGTCAGCCAGGATGACCTCTGCCCAGTGAGCACGGTCTCCCCCCTGATTCTAGCTCATGGGCAGCCCGAGAGCTTTCTCCTCTGTTGCTGTTTCATCCATTCTCACCCAAGCACAGCTGCCCTCCTGCTCAGTTCTGGATTACCTGGAGAGGCATCTGACATCCCTTCCCCAGCATCCCTTTTCTCACTCTGGCCCACACCTGCGAGAAAGTGCCCCTTGGCAGGTCGTAGGCATGGTGACAAGTCAGCAGCAGTAACAAGGTACGCCAGCCTCCCACCACGGGTGACCGTCCACCCACAGGTGCCTTCTCTGGCCAGTCCTAACTGTGCCCCACCCCCACTCATTCCGGTGTCCCGCTGCACTTTGTGCTGCCTTCCTTCTTGTTTTGTTTTTATATATGTATTTTGATTCACTATGATTAAGTTTGTGCTGCTTTTTTTAAAAATATATATATTTTTTATTGATTTCAGAGAGAGGAAGGGGGAGAGAGAGAGGTAGAAACATCAGTGATGAGAGAGAGTCACTGATCGGCTGCCTCCTGCACACTCCCGACTGGGGGTCGAGCCGGAAGCCCGGGCATGTGCCCTGACCGGGAATTGAACCTCGATCTCCTGGATCCTAGGTCGACGCTCAACCATTTAGCCACATTGGCCGGACGGCTTGTGCTTTTTAAAAATCTGGTTCTATTCCCCACCTCCCTCCAGTATGCGCCTTCCTTTATTTTTAGGTGGGTCTTCCCAAGGTTCTCTCTGTACCTTGGCTTGTGTGCCTCGTCCCTGGAGTCCTTCCCTCCTCCGGCTGCAAAATCAAATCTTGCTCTCTCCTACTGGATCTCTTTCCCTTAGGAACTCCTAAAATACAGTTGGTGCCATATAGAGTGATGTTTCGTTAGCTGCTGCTTGTCCTGATTGATGCTCCTGCCTGTTCCCTGTCTCCGTGACTGATCTGTGAGCCCCCTGATGGAAGCGGTGTTCCCGGGTCCTGAATGCAAAAGGGCGGGGGGCTAAATCGGCCAAGGGGGTTAGTGAGCCCTCAGCGGCTGATGGGGGACTGGCGCGGCTTGTCTTCCGAGGGCAGCTCCAGTGTGTATTTGCTGCAGGACTGATGAGTGGGGAATGAACCAAAGTTTGCAAGTAACTGCAAGATTGGCCATGAAGAAGGAAGGAGATGCAGGGTTCTCTGAATCCCCACTGTGTGCCAGGCACACCTGGAACCCCTTGATCCTGCCATCGGCTCAAAGGGGAAAAGGTTCCTACTTTACCAGTGAAGAAACTAAGGCTCAGGTGAAGTAGCTGGCCAGAGCTGAAGCTCCGGGCAGCAGCAGACAGTTCGCTAGCTCCATAGCCTCTGCTCTTTTGTGCCTCAGAACCCAGTTCTTAGGCAGGGACAGAGGTGAGAATGCCCAGAGCTGTCCCCAGGACTCCCTTTACCTTGAAGTAGACTCTGCTCACAAGAGGGCCTTCCTTTCCATTTACACACCCGGCCCAGGGATGACTCACCTGTCGCTTCCAGCTGTCTTCACAGCGTAGGGCTAACGCATCGGACATTGGAACAGGGCCTGATTCTAGGCTCTCTAGTGCTCTCTGCCTCATCTTGCTGATAAACAGGTTATACTCCTTGCAGCTTTCAGAGGGTGGGGTCCAGTGACGTTACCTGTGGGAGGCTCTCGCCTCCCTCGCTGTTCCCGGAGGACCCGGCGTCTCACTCATTGTGTCCTCCACCGTGACATGACTTTCGTCGTCACTGTCCTTGTGTGGGCCCTTCTTACACCCCGGGCCCTTGGCTCTTGGACCCTTTTCTGGCCCCTGGCCAGACTCCCCAGCCTATGGTGACCACAGGCTTGTCCTCCCTGAGCTTCGGCTGCGTCTGGCCTCATCCCATCACCCCCCACTTCCCTGCTCCTGCTCATTCATTCTTGATTTCCAACCCCTTCGAGGCCCCTAATTCTTTCTTTCCTCATCTCCTCCCAATTTGTCACCGTCTTCCAGGCTTCCCTTCCCTTTGGCCCGTCCATGCTGTCCCCTCTCCAGTCCTGGCTGCTGAGCAGCACTAGAGAACAAGACAGTTGGCTGGGATGGGAAATCCCTTGGCATGTCCTGGTCACATCCCTCCTCTCCCTTGGCTTCTCCAGACTCACCTCGTTTTCTTCAAGTCTCCTCTCTTACCTGCTGACAGTCTTGGAGAAAATGCTCTGGTTTTACCTTACAAAGAAAGCTTACTCACACTTAATCCTCTCATTATAAACTCCCTCAGCTCCCTGACCCCCACCACCATCAAATTCCCACTTCCCTGCTTTAAACTCTCCCAGTTCCCCACGGGTGTCGATGAGGGTTGTGGCTGCATATGACAGAAACTTTCACAGTGGCTTTAAATGGCCAAGTTCCGTCCTAATTAAAGGGCAGGGTCCCGGCTCCTGCGCAGTTTGACCGTGGACCCAGGCTAGGCACCTCCACCTGCAGTGTCTGTCTGCACGGCCACCTCTGGAGTCACACCCTGCTCTGTATTCTGGGCAGCAGGAGGGGGAAGAAGGGCTCCCCTCAGGCCTGCGGGGCACCTCTGCTAACATCTCCTTGACTGGAACTGTGCCACATGGCCTCCTAGCTTTGAGGGAGGTGGGAGATGTAGACTTCTTTTCAGGGAGCAATTCTCGCTAAGAACCAGGACTCTACTAAGGAGGGAAGGAGGATGGTGTCCTCTGGGCAGCTGCCAGTGTTTGCCCTCCTGCCTCCCTCCACAAGTGTGCACAGCTTGCTACCTCCCCTGGCACACCGCTCAGCTCCCACATCCCTGCTTCCCACTGGCAGGGTGCTACCTGCTTTGGGGGTCCCCCTCCTTACCCTGGCTCATTGTGTAGTCTTTTAGTGTAGCATCCAAGGATTCTGTGTTGGCAACTTGTTACTTAGAATTGTAACTGTTTTCTGTTTTCCTCCTCTGCCGCTCTGCTCAAAAACAAACGAACGAATGAAAAACAAAGATCTCTTTGAGCACAGAAACCATGCTGCACTTACCTCTAGGGGCGAATGCAGTGCCTGGCCCCGTGTGCCTTCTCCATAAATGCTGGAATAAATATTACATGAAGCTTCTCTCTGAGCTTTTTTGACGTGGTCCCAGGGTCTTAAATTAGGGATTTCAAGAGAATGGCAGGTCCTGGCCACTGAGCGGATGTGCCTTTCTGTTCTTTCACCAGGTTTATGGTATCTTCTATGCCACGTCCTTCCTGGACCTCTATCAAAACCCGAAGAGCTTAACGACGTCACTCCACAACAAAACAGTCATTGTCAGTAGGGACGAGCAGTATTTGTTTCTGGTAAGCGTCCGTTACCAGAAGGTCTGGAGGAGTTTCTCTTGAAGGGCTGTTTTACTTCCTGGGCTCCCAGCTCAGACCCAGGAGCTGGGGCAGGGAGGTGTGGGTCCAGGCTCCGGTGCCGCAGGAGGACTGCTCTCCTGCATCGGGCGCAGGCGTCAAGCTCTTGGTGAAGCTCATGGAAGACCCACACCAGCGCGGCTCCACTGTGGAGGACTGAGCACTTGGCAGACGGGCCACAGGAACAGATAGAAGCTTTTGTCAAGTTCTACTTCTAGGAATTTAGCCTACATACTGTTACATGTGTGCCAAGATATAGGAGATGTTTGATATACTATTGCTTGTGATAGCAAAAGATTGGAAACAAATGTGTATCAAGGGAAGGCAGATTAAAAGTCGTATAGCTTATCCTTGCAGTGGATACAGGACAACCATCCCAGAGAAAGATAACAGCTGTAAATGTGCTCATAATGGAAACATTTCTAAGCAGTATTATTAAGTGAAAGAAGTTAAGAACATAAGATGTGTAACAATGTTTTCATTTGTGTAAAAAAATTTTTAGGAAAAATAGGCTACATGTACACACATGCATATAAGTGTATATCTATGCACACATATAAATATCTGTATTTATATGTAAATATGTATATCTGTGTATGTATACACACAAGACATTTCTAGAAGGAAGTACAAAAAACTGTTACCAGTGGTACCTCTGGGAAAATAAATTAGACATCCAGGGTAAGTGGGGAATTATTTTACATTATATATCTTTTTGTATCGATTGTATTTTTATTGTGTACGTGTGTCACTGTTTTGTTGGGAAAGTGGTTTAGTGAAGACTTGTTTCAGGTTCGCGTGGTGGTGCCTTACCAAGGGCCGTCCTCGGACTACGTGGTGGTGAAGATGATCCCGGACAGCAGGCTCCCACCCCGTCACCTGCATGCAGTGCGCATAGGCAAGACATCTGCTCTGATTAAGTGGGAATCCCCCTACGACTCTCCAGACCAGGACCTGGTGAGTGGCCCGTTGCCTGCAGCCCTCGCTCATTCTTAGTATGGTTTGCAGGCAGGGGTGAGGGGAGAGGACCCTGCACTGGGGCAGGAACCATAGGCCTGGCGATTGGAGCTCAGCATGAGGCCCCTTTCTGTCTTGCCCAAGAAGGGGGTGTTGTTATGGGTGCCTCCTCTTGGTGTCACATCCCGTTGTTCCCGGCTGTGATGCTGTTTTATCCCTCCTCTCTGCCTCCTCACATTCCCTTCTTTGTCTTCCAAAATGGGTTGGCAAACAGAGGCCTGCAGGCCAAGACCAGGCTGTCCCTGGTTTTGAACGTAGTGTTACCACAACCAAGGTATACCCACTGCTTGCCTGTTATCTGTGGCTGCTTTCGTGCTGCAAGTGGCAGAGTTGAGTCATTGTGGTCAAGACCACCCAGCCTTCCAAGCCTGAAATACTTACTAACTGGACCTTCCATAAAAGTTTGCTGGCCGCGACCTAAAAGACGCATTGAATCAAGAAAAGACTCCCGTCTCCTCTTGCCCCGGCTGCCTTCACCTCCATGCCCCGCCCCCGCTCAGCCATGCCCTCTGCCCCGCTCAGCCATGCCCTCTGCCCCGCCCAGCCATGCCCTCTGCCCCGCC